GTTAATTTCTACGTGGAGGATATGTTAAATGGGCTGATATGCTGAGAAGAATAAGTCAAAAGGGAATTTATTTGCCTTGTTTGACTTGGTATATAAGAGAAAAGTGGGCTGGACACTTTGAAAAAAATAAATACGCAGCCTAGAGGAGTTCTATTAGGCACGCAAAACAGAGAGCCGCCAGATTCACGCATAACAGAAAAGGAGAACGCGCAAAACACAGAGAATAGAAGGGACGCACAGACGAGAAGAGCCCGACGAATTGCGGAGGGAGGCCGCACCCATACACGAGGGAGATAATTAATCTCTCTTTTATCTTTTTCTTTTTATTTATTATGTTAGAGTAGTTTTTATTTCTAGTTCAGGGGAAGTTGAACCCTACGATTGACTATGTTTTGATTGATTCTAGGGGGAATTGCTTGTGTTATTTTGAATAAATTCACCATGATGTGTTAGTCTTATTTAGATTGATCACCTAGATTAGGCTTTTCATATCTACATCTGAATTAGACCTGCAATCCGTAATTGTTGTTGTGTTTAATTCATAAGAGGTAACCGGAAGATGGTAACTACCGGGGATAACACGGCCTAATTAAGTGAACGAACGCGGTTGAGTTCACTACTTAGTCTAGTCTATTTTTCTAATTCGTAAAGCGGCTAATTGTATTAAATCTTGAAAACGTTTTTCTGGACTGTACAAGAAGTCAGGTTTAATCGCAGAGCGTCTCGCGGTTAAATTAAAAATAAGGAAAAATTCGGGTAACAGACCGTGTCGTTGCCTAGGGCTAGTAATTTCATAAGATAGCGAGATTTGATTCCAAAGTTGATTAGACGAGTCAGTCGAGAGTGTAGACGGAACCGTGAACTAGAAAGTTCTCTCATTTATTATTTTTATTTTTATTTTCATTGTTTAGATTTTTTTTGTATCATTAGAATTTTAGTTAGTTTAGTTATTAATTCAAAATCTCCCCCTCTTTTATTGCTTTTATAATTCAATTAATACGAGAAAATTCACGATTTGATTCACACTGCCTGTGGGATCGACCCTTGCTCGCCACTACTACTAATTAGTAGGGGTTAGTTGAGGAAAAATATAAATATTAATTTTGCCGTGTTGCGACGCGCGGTCAAATTTTGGCGCCGTTGCCAGGGAGTGGCGTTATTGAATTGTGATTTTTTGGTACTAATTGAGTTCTCTTTTTAGGATTTATTTTTATTATCTTTTATCCCCCTTTTCCTTGTTTTATTTCTTTTATTTTCTTGCAGAATACTGGGGGATCCCATACTCTGCTGGACAGATTAGTTCGCCTCCATACTCTTAGGAGTAACTTGAGTTTTGGGCAATCTTTGCAAGCTTTGAGCAACTTTTCGAGATGGCAGCCTATTATCACGACTTTTATACCCATCGTGCACCTTACCAGTATGAGAGGGAGATATGAAGCCCGTGGATTGGAAACCGAGACATAAGAGGACCTAGTGGTTGACGAAGATACGAGCAAGACTCGTGTATCTCGAGGAAAATGAGTACGGCTTGAGAGAGCACTCGAACTCTTTCCATGGGTACTCCGAGCCACCAATTGCGCGAGATCCCAACCCATCGCTAGAGGATATGGTGAAGGCACTAGAGGCTCACACGTTGAGATTTCTGCAAGAGCACTCCGAGCCATTAGTTGAGAGAGATCCTGGTCCGTATCTCGAGGAGATGATGAAGGAGTTGACGGCTAACACTCTTAACTTTCAACAAAGTGTTGAGGCGAGTATTAAGAGCCAATTGGTGGACCAGATGGACCGACTAGTGTATCGGTTGGAAACGAGTCCAATGAGTTCGAGCGTCATCCATTCGTACAGCGAGGACCTCGAGGAACTTGAAGAGTGCACACACGAGCCGGAGAACGAGAAAATCACGAATATCAAGAAGAATGAGAGCGAAAAAGAGAACCAAGCTGCAGAATTTGGGACTGAGCAGCAGAATACGAGGGTACCCCATACTCGACCTGCTGTAGCCAAAATACCGTTCTTCCCGCTCTTGTGCCGATAGAAGCTGAACCGTGTCCTATGTATTCTAATATGAAGTGGGTACTGAGCAAGGATGCACTGAAGCATGTCTTGGGCCTTGATATACCTTCTCTTGAGAACATCGAGCAAAACGAAAGGTGTGAATGGGATTTTGTTGAGGCGGTGACCGTGATCGAGCGTGGGTTGCTACACATCCTTGAGGAACTAGAGTCATGGAGGAAAGATCCGGTGAAGCACCCGACACCGAGGATAGGGGATGCAACCAAACATGGTGCCGTGAGATTTGTGGCTCCCTTGAGGCCACCTCCGAAGCCGCCATGGATCCTTTGATGGAAGGGAGTAATAAGTCGGGTCAACGACAATAAAAAGAGGCGCTTGCTGGGAGGCAACCCTATGGTGTGCGTGGTTCGGTGACCTTCTTCGTATTGACTAAGGTGAACTCGTTTCTTTTACCTCCATTTTTGTTCATTTGAGTTTATTTTAGTGTCTATGATATATGCAAACTCTAAGTTTGGGGAAGTGGTTTCGGGGTGAGCATTCATGATTTATTATGTTATTATATTTTTGCCCCTTAGAGTTTGAGTTCTTAGATTAATTTGCATGATATTTGTCGTATGTGAGCTTGAGATGACATGTACGTGGAATTTTGCGATGATGATATGAGAATCGGTTTGAATTTATTGTGCTAGTTTAAGTGGCTTGAGTTAATTTTATTTGGTTAAATTCTTAAGGTGTTTTTATTTTGGGGACAAATGCATGATGGTCGATATTTTTGTGACTTATTTGTGGTGAGTTGGTTTTGAGGCGATTTGTATTTTTGATATGTGCTTGTGATTGCTTTAATCAATGTTGATTAAGTTTGGGGACTCGAAGTTGAAAGTTGGGGTTTCTATGTCTCTTAGTCGAAAAAAAAATATTAATGAGGATGGAGGAATAATTGGTGGAGTTGAAAAGCCGTTTAAAAAAGAGAGAGAGAGAGAGAGAGAGAAAAATGGAGAATGAGACATTTAGACTTCGGCTAGAAACGGAAGGAAACTTGACTTGTTAGCAAAGAGAGGGGTGTCATGAGTTGCATTGATCAGTGCATTCGTTATAGAGATTGACAACTATAGTGGTCATTTGAATTGATACTTGATTGTTTGAGTTCTTAATATGATTTCATCTTGAGTCCGAATATATTGATTTGAGTTGTTTGAACTATGCCCTTATGTGAGAATTGTGAGGCCTTGAGTAATATTCCACGTACTTGTTGATCCATCTTTGTGCTTATAGTTATAAGTTGCTTGGGGACAAGCAACGGTTTAAGTTTGGGAGATTTGATTGGTCGGGAAAAATGTGTATTTTACATATTTATTAGTGTATTTCCCTATGCTTAATTTTATCTCACTTATTGTTTTTCGACTTATTTATTTATTAAATGGATTCTGGTGCTTTGATATTTTTTTGTTTATTTTTTGGATATTGGAGTGTTTTTATGGACGACGAGACGTCGAAGGAAGGTTAAAGCAGACAGTATGGGGGTGTCCCGTACTGCCCGTACTAACCCAACAGCACCCCGTACTGGATCAACAGGGCCCATGTATCTATCCAGCCCATACAACTACGTATTATGGCAAGAGGAAAATAATATAATTTGGCCCATGGAAGTGAATATTATTGGCCCAGGTGTTAATTTCTACGTGCAGGATATGTTTAATGGGCTGATATGCTGAGAAGAATAAGTCAAAAGGGAATTTATTTGCCTTGTTTGACTTGGTATATAAGAAAAAGTGGGCTGGACACTTTGAAAAAAATAAATACGCAGCCTAGAGGAGTTCTACTAGGCACGCAAAACAGAGAGCCGCCAGATTCACGCATAACAGAAAAGGAGAACGCGCAAAACACAGAGAATAGAAGGGACGCACAGACGAGAAGAGCCCGACGAATCGCGGAGGGAGGCCGCACCCATACACGAGGGAGATAATTAATCTCTCTCTTTTATCTTTTTCTTTTTATTTATTATGTTAGAGTAGTTTTTATTTCTAGTTCCGGGGAAGTTGAACCCTACGATTGACTATGTTTTGATTGATTATATGGTTGATGATTTTAATATCTTTTTGGAATTGCTTGTGTTATTTTGAATAATTCACCATGATGTGTTAGTCTTATTTAGATTGATCACCTAGATTAGGCTTTTCATATCTACATCTGAATTAGACCTGCAATCCGTAATTGTTGTTGTGTTTAATTCGTAAGAGGTAACCGGAAGATGGTAACTACCGGGGATAACACGACCTAATTAAGTGAACGAACGCGGTTGAGTTCACTACTTAGTCTAACCTATTTTTCTAATTCGTAAAGCGGCTAATTGTATTAAATCTTGAAAACGTTTTTCTGGACTGTACAAGAAGTCAGGTTTAATCGTAGAGCGTCTCGCGGATAAATTAAAAATAAGGAAAAATTCGGGTAACAGACCGTGTCGTTGCCTAGGGCTAGTAATTTCATAAGAAAGCGAGATTTGATTCCAAAGTTGATTAGACGAGTCAGTCGAGGGTGTAGACGGAACCGTGAACTAGAAAGTTCTCTCATTTATTATTTTTACTTTTATTTTCATTGTTTAGATTTTTTTTGTTTCATTAGGATTTTAGTTAGTTTAGTTATTAATTCAAAATCTCCCCCTCTTTTATTGCTTTTATAATTCAATTAATACGAGAAAACTCACGATTTGATTCACACTCCCTGTAAGATCGACCCTTGCTCGCCACTACTACTAGTTAGTAGGGGTTAGTTGAGGAAAAATATAAATATTAATTTTGTCGCGTTGCGACGCGCAGTCAGATTGCTACTGCAACTAGAAACCATAAACTTGAGAACAACAACCCAAGACAAAAAGAACCACCATCTAGCAACCAATATCTGAAAACTCCAAATGAACTCAATCGGCTAATTAGACTGGAGATCCGACACTTATGAGATTGGCAATGACTTCCCCCGAAAGTCCATTGCCTTCACCAACCCAGCCCCCTCCGGCGAAGTGTTGGAGCACGACACCGAAGATCGGTCCTCATGCCCGAGAACAGGACAGAGATAAGGAGGAGAAGGCAAGGAGCATGGATTCTCCATCGACAGTCTATGGATGGGAGTTGCATGGAGAAGAGAGGGAACACTTTCTTCAGATCTGATTTTTTTGTCAGAAGTTTTTTAGAAGATTTTAGAAGAGAGAACTATATATGGCCCTTTCATTTAACTAATTTTCACACACGTTGGCAATGTGCAAGAAAAAATCAATTCCAAAATCCTTCAACGCATCGCCATTGAATCAAAGGCGCCAACACACCTTCATTACTACATCTAAAAATGTACTTGTTTATGAGAAGGAAAATTCATTTTTTTGGGTAATATAGAAAAACCAACTAATTTTGAAGTATTTTCGAATCTCATATGACTAAGAAATAAGCCTTTTAGATTTGGAAATGAGCCATTCACGTGCCCACTAAAAATATCCCAATTTTCTCTCTCCCTAAACACCCCTTTCGAACAGAGCTTCCACCGGCAAAAACGCTTCTCTTTCCTCTTCTTTTTCCTCTCCCGCACTTCCAACAAAACTCTCAGGCCGCCTAGCCAAGTCGACGCCGCAGGGTTTTTTCCCAGGCTCGAGGCGGCCGGCGCTGGGGCCGAAGCCACTTTCACCTTCCCCTCTGCCTGAATCGTGAGGTAGCGTCTGTTTGGTATCCGGCAGTGCTCCTCCGTTCTTTGAGAGGATCTGGTCGCGATTTCCAGCATTTTGGAGGTGGGCGAAGGTGGTCTTCAGCCGACAAGTCCGGTTCGGAGGTGGGCAAAGGATAGATCCGGTCTGAATGTATCAGATCTAGTTAGGCCTTGTTTGGTTATCAGTGGTTAGCTGTTAGCTGTTAGCGGATTGCATTAGCTGTTTTGACCAGCAGATTGCATTAGCTGTTTTGACCAGCATTAGCGGTTTGTAAAAGAGTGTTTGGTAAAATTAGCTATTTTAATTAGCGGTTAACATGTACAATTACTTATAAGGGCACACATATAGTTTTTTTTTTTTTTGGGTATAATTATTTTAGAAAATAAAAATCATTAATGATTTAATATATAGCAGAAATAATAATACAATAACACAAATAACAAATAAACATCAAATAAGAATTTATGATTCTAATTAGCGTATGAATAAGTTTATTGAAATATATTTTATAGTTTTTTTGTTATGTAGCATAAGAAACAACCATTATAATGATTGTCGGTCCAAAATAAATGCATTAGCTTAAATGTGTGTTGTGAGTCTTGTGATATGAGCCAATCATTATTTTCCTTTTTTTTTTTTGCCTGCTATTAAGTAACAGCATATAAGTTATTTATTTTTTCCAAAAGCTATTGTCAAATGCTGCAAAGTAGAGCGTTTATGCTTTCGGCGTTTTGATTAAAAAAGCTATTTAAAAAAGCATCTTACCAACATAAAATTTAGCTGTTAGCTAAGGTCAAACAGCTAAAATGGTTGAAACTGCTAAAAGCTAAAGAAAAAGTTATTTACCAAACACAGCCTCAGTCTTAGCCGTTTAGAGTTGGGAGTTTTTGATCTACTATTTTTGGGTGTGGTAGTGTTTTCTCTCCGTGACCAATTTTGATTTATTGGCTCCAATGGTGACATTGGTGAAGCTTGTTGATAGCCGGAGAGGGCTTTACATTATAGTTAGTTTACATTATTTTTATATTTTGTTGTTTCTTTTTTTGTTTTACTTTTTTTGGTTGTTAATCTCCATTTGCAGATAATTTTATTCTCCTTTACAAAGCATTGTCTTCAAGTTTTTTTGTCTTGATTAGGAATTTTTTTATGGATGTTTTATGTGGAAAGGGAGCTCTTACTTTAAAGTGACTCACTCATGGTCCATTTATTTCTGTCACTTGACAATTAGGCGTGATTGTTTATAAGTTGTACAGTAAATATTCCACTCAAAACTCAAATTTAACTCAACTTTAACTCAACTCCACTATCTTCAATATTATCAATATAATTAAATAATACCAAACAAATATTATTACACATCACATCAACTTTAATTCACTATTCACCCACTCACATAATTTTAACTAACCATCACTTCCAATCATTTTCTCCTACTTTTACATCAAATCAACTTTAATTATTTTAATTTAAATATTATTTTAATATATCCACTAACAACTAACCATATTACTTTTTTTCAAACTTAACTATAGTTAAAAAAAAAACTAGTTTTTTACTAGTTGAATTTATATCCAATCACCCCCTTATAATAGATCCTTGTAACCAGTTGGTTACCCTTTGTAATCTTTTTACATTTAATTTTGATTGTATTTGTCGTTTAAAAAAATCTCTTATGAGTAAAAAATAACTTCTTATAAGTAACTTTTTTGTTCTCAAAAATAGAAAAATTTCAATATCTTAACTTTAATATTAATTCTAAAATTAAACTTAATGAAATCCCCATTATATTTCGACCAGAACGTTAGAGAGCTAACTACCATCAAGAGCTGATTAGATTGTAAACCTAGTAAAAATTGTTACTCCTCTCAAAATTGTTACTCCTCTCAATTGCGTTTCGTCGTCTGATAAGGTTATGTGTTATCTCCATATATTATTTGCATGTCATAGTCCTTCTACCCGTGAAAAGCACAAGGTTCTGAGTTACGTCCACATATTATCTGCATGTCACAGTCTTTCTGCCCGTGAAAAGTAACCAGTTCGTGTTATAGTTCGTGTTATCAGAGGCACTAGCTTCTCCAAGATAGCTTGAGTAGGTCGATTATACATCTCATATCATTGGAAAGCAATTGGAAATAAAAAAATTGGAGAAAAATGGGCAATATGCATAAATTATATATGTACAATGGTATACGTACTTTCACAAGTAATACGCTTCATGTAAATAAAAGTTTCGGTTAAACATATTCGTGTAAGAGTATGCATGCCTATATTTATGTATATATAAGTAGAATTATGCATAAAGAATCTCTTGTTAACATATCTCACTCATCGTACACATTAATGTTTGGAAGTGTCATTTGTATAATATTAAAATGTAACTACGATGGAAGGAAAAAAATAATTAATGTTTGAAAATGTTAATGAATGTAACATGAAAATGCAACAATTAAAGGTAAATCGATATTTGTTTTAAAAAAAACATTTAAAACCAATAATAATAATAATAACAATAATAATAATAATAATAATAATAATAGGGAAATGTAATTAAACAAATAAGAATCGAATTAGTAAGAAAATGTTAAGAAAATAGTTGGTTTTTCATTTAACGAACATTTTATATTCAATCACAAGTTTATAAGTATATATATATATATATATACATATATATATATATATACACAATAATTCTTAGGGGCTGATGAAATAGGATTTACTATTATTAATTATTTATTTTCTATTTTCAAGATACTAATGAAACAACCACATCAGGAAACATTTGATGCATGCTTGCTCACCACTTCCAAGGGCACATACCTTTTCTGATCCGAGTGTCCAAAATGACTTAACCGTGACCCACGCTGAAAAAAATGAAAAGAAGTCATAATTCTGCGTCTGAGATTGGATACAAACTTTTTTTCTATTTTTATACAACGTTGTGAGATTATGAATAAGAATAAAACGTTTCCACAAACTAATATTCATTCTATTTAATTTTCTCTCAATCTCATCAATACAATTTTAAAATAAAAACAATTATTAGTATACATTTACTGACCAAATATATTATCCATCTACTCACATATTTATAACTATAAATTAATATTAACCCTTTCTATATTGTATAAACTTCGGTTGTTACATATTTATCTTATATTCATTTACAATCTCCAAAAGATATTTCATTCTTAGTTCCCAAAAAGAAAAATCATCATTCCATTCGTTCTATCTACCAAGATAAAAGTTCAGGAAAAACTAATATCCAATCTACCTTGCAATATTTTTT